TATTATTATATATATATATATATATATATATATATATATATATTCCCAAATCCGGGGTATGGTTAAAGAAGATTACTTTAAAGAATAAAGGTTAAGAGAAAGAGATCAACAGTAATAATAGATTCATGAATGGACAGGAAAAAAAAGGAAGTTGAAACTAGAAACTAATATGATAATTACATAATAGAACAAGAGAGTGAATGAGTACTGAGTAGAATTGTACAACATTAAAAGTTTAACGAATTTTGAAAAAACACCACTTTTATTGAAATATTCACTTTTATCGAAACATCAGCAGTAAATCAAACTTGGTTAAACAAACTCCAAAGTGTATTTTATGTATAGAAGTTGTTTGTTCAATTCGAATTCTATACCATATAAATATGTTTGGACTTAATTTGTAAATATTTTGTAAGCTTAGCTACTTTTTGCAAACTTAGAATCTAGAAATATGTTCCATGTGATCTAAAAAAGCTTTTGAAAAACAAAATTTTTAGAGTAGTCTAGAAATTTATAGTACCATCTACACTCAAACCTTTCCCCGGTATAAAGTTGATGCTGTAGTAATACTTTAATTTGACAAAAATCATAAGCAAAAAAAATGTGCACATTAGAGAAATTGGGAAATTTATTCATTCTAACACTCACCGGGGACGATGAACACAGGCTAAATCTCTCTCTTATCGACTCAATTAAATCTGCTCTCGATCGCGTAACGGCTGAAGCAACCGGCAGCTCCGCTCTAATTACTACAGCTCAGGGCAAATTCTTCTCTAATGGCGTTGATCTGACTTGGGCATTGTCCGATCCATCGCGCTATCCGTTGATGAACTCCAAGCTCAAATCCCTCATTTTTGAATTTTTCAACCTTCCCATGCCAACAATCGCGGCTGTAACAGGTCATGCTTCGGCTGCCGGATTCGTACTGGCGATGAGCCATGATTACATCCTGATGCGAAAGGATCGTGGATATCTGTACATGAATGAAATCGATATAGGATTGAAAATTCCGAATTGGTTCGTGACTTTGGTGAAGAACAAAGTGAAGTCGCCGGTAGCTTGGCGTGAAGTGGTTATGAGAGGTACTAAATTGACTGCTGACATGGCAATCGAGCAGGGAATCGTCGTCTCCGCGCACCATGGTGCAGCGGAGACGATGAAGGAGGCTATAAAGCTTGGGGAGGAGTTGATAGAGAGGAAATGGAATGGTGAAGTTTACTCTCACAGCAGAAGGGTTGTGTTTTCTGATGTTTTGGTTGCGCTGCCTAGTAAAATGGTATCTAAATTGTAATTTGGAGACTTAATTTGGTACAATAAATAAATAAATAAAATAGGAATAAGTTTGTGGCATGTTCGCTAAAAAGAATCTCTTTATAATCCATTAATATTTATGAATTATGGGCCAACAATAAAAATAAAATTCGTGTATAGTGAATTTACGATCCATTATCTCAACATCACTTGTGACAATGAGTATTTCTGGAGCTCGAAGCAGAAAAAGCATTGGATTTAGCTAGGAAACTACTCCAATTAACGCCAGAGTGTGTGTAAATTTTTCAAGGAATAGTAAAAAATGAAGATCATAATAATGTTAGATTCGAAAAAATTAGCACTACAAGAGAATTATAAAAAAAAATTATAACTCCTCTATTAGCTTAGCAATAGAATTGAATACTTAACTATGTACGGCTCAATAAAAATTTACCTATATCAAATATTTATATATCGATCAAATTAATGTATATATTAAACATTTGTTTCAATTTACACAACTATTAATAACTAATGATTATCTCTACTCAGAGGAGAATAGTCTATGATATTAGTCAACATTCAACCACCCTATAACGTATGAGACTGATCCTCTATTAATTAGAGATATCTCAGGTTCAAGCCTGGATATAGAAAAAAATTCTTGATCAAAACGTTTTTTTTTAATAGAGCTTTATGTGGCACAAATTTAAAATTCAAATAGCGTCTTAGGCACAAGTCTAAAATAATCAGGCTTTAATATAGATACTATACATGGAATAAATAAAAAATTAGTCAACATTTAGGCAGCTGTCATTGGGGAAATTTGCATATAAAAAAAAGTATACACTACTAACTGGGCTAAGTTCATAGGAAAAATGTGCACGTTACAGAAACAGGGGAATTTATTCATTCTTACACTCACCGGCGACGATGAGCACAGGCTAAATCCTTCTCTTATTGATTCAATCAGATCCGCTCTCGAACGGATAACGGCGGAAGCAACAGGCAGCTCCGTTTTAATCACTACAGCTCAGGGCAAATTCTTCTCTAATGGCTACGATCTCGATTTGGCTTCGTCCGATCTATCCAGCTTAGAGTTAATGGATTCCAAGCTCAAATCGCTCATTTCTGAACTTTTCAACCTTCCTATGCCTACGATCGCGGCTGTTACCGGCCATGCTTCGGCGGCCGGATTCATATTGGCGATGAGCCATGATTACATCCTGATGCGAAAGGATCGTGGATTTCTGTACATGAGTGAAATTGATATCGGATTGAAAATTCCGAATTGGTTTGTGACTTTGGTGAAGAACAAAGTGAAGTCGCCTGTAGCTTGGCGTGAAGTGGATATGAGAGGTACAAAATTGACCGCTGACATGGCAATCGAGCAGGGTATCGTCGTCTCCGCGCACCAGGGTGCAGCGGAGACGATGAAGGAGGCTATAAAGCTTGGGGAGGTGTTAATGGCGAGGAAATGGGATGGGAAAGTTTACGCACATAATAGGAAGCTTGTGTTTTCAGATGTATTGGTTGTGCTAAACAATGAGATTGCATCTAGATTGTAAACAAGTAAGTTGGAATACATTAAAAATAAAAATCGAGTCCATAACTTTATTTATGATTCTTGTTGTTTCTGATTCTTTATGTAATTATGTATCCATCTTCCTTAGTGTGTAGAACAGTAGAATTTAATGAGAATTAAAATTTTAATTTTGAGTTGATGAGACAAAGTACTTTGCATGTAAAGGATCTTTTCTCTTTAGGTCAATTGGTATTCTAAAAAATCCTTGCATTTCTTGTAAATCTTTTCAATCCTATATTGTATATCACTACAATTAGCCAATTTTTATTCCTCTAGCCTATAGATTTAGCCATTTTCATTGAATCCAAGTATGAAAGTCTCGCCAAATTGCATTTGTGAAATAGCAGTTTCATTCTCAACTTGAAAAAAGGAGCAACTCCCATCAGCAATAAAACATCATTTGAAAAGCAATCCTTTGATTCTTAGCTTTCCACGGAGAGTCGGCGACAATATAAATGTATGCTTAGACTCAACAATATTGGACATTGGTCATGTTATTTGTGGGTTTGAGAAGATGAATGCTTTGGCTTTGAAAGGAAGAAACGTTACTTGGATAAGTATGTATAAGAACATATATGTTAATTGAGAGATTCGATTGTTGAATAAGTATCCAACATGATTGATATGTTACTTAAGAAAGTTCAATAAGTAATCAACATGACTGAGGATACTGAAGGTAGAGTGATTCATATGGAAGACCTTGGCAATTGGTGGGACTTGGTCTTCTAATTTTGAGCTACATAATTTAGTTTGAATTTGATATAACAATCTATTTCATGAATTTACATAAAATTAAGAGTAATGTCTTTTATATCGTAGTCTGGTTTTTAAGTTAAATTTTGATGTAAAATCATAAGATTTTTCATTTAACACAGTAGCTGAAAGAATTAGCAAAATTAGTGAACTGGTCGGTCTCCATTGGCCATCCCAAAATTAGTACTCCCGACTCTATCGCCTCCAACACAGAATTCCATCTATAGTGACTCAGAAACCCACCAACGGCTCGATGTCTTACTAGGCCACTCCCTAAAACTCTCTCCTCAAACCCTTGTGGCACTAATCCAAACCCTTCACTCTACTTTTCTCAAGCCCAATAATTAAGGCCTCCATTTGGGCCTTTGTTAGTAACTTTTGACTCCCAAAAGCTACGTAAAGAACAGACTCATTCATCAAGAGAAAAGTTACATAAATTAATACATTTTAATAAATAATTATTGATTTTAGCAACACTTTTAATTTATTATCATTTATAGTAATACTATGTTAAATTTGTAATATGAATTAAAAGTGAATTACGTATGCAATATATATGAATTATAATTGTTTTTTGAAATATTATGTTTGTTTGGTAAAAATTTGACATATTGTATTATAAGTGTGTTAAAATCTGTGATAAATATATTATCCATCGTTAAAACCTGTATTATATGTGAATAATAAATTGTTCTTTGTTATATGTATTAAACTTGTATTATAAATGAATTAAAAGTGATCATGTGAAAAAAATGTTACTGCTATAAATGATAAATATTTTTTTATTATAGTATATTTATGTAAGTTTCCCTTCGTCAAGCCAAGTGAAAACTTTCTTTGGTTACCGTATCATGAATGTGGCAAATCCAATATTGCTTTGATATATTCCTTGAAATATGTGTATTCAATAAGTAGTACTCTTAATTAAGATTCGAGTTGTATTTCTAGTAATGGGGTATATGAACATGTATATGTTTCCACCATTAAATTTTGTATACATAATTTTTAACAACAAGATGTTATTAATGATAGGACAGATTCTCTAGAATCCTAATTTGTCCTAAATTCATGTGTTTCAGTTGTATTTCATATTTAGATCTACATAATTAAATGTATATGCTTATTATGTATTCAATATACATATTTTTTGATATAATGTATGAATTTAGATACATAAAATTACTACTAGATACGTATAACAAATACATAAAATTAATATTAGATATATATAAATAGATACATAAAATTAATACTAGATGCGTATAACAAATACATAAATTAATGCTAGATAAATTTATGATACATACGAATGTACTTGTATGATACTCATGTATCTAAATGTTTAGTTTGTTAGATACATCATAATAGACATATCAAGTTATTGAATTTATTATCTTAAGAGTAATGATTTAAAAATTAATCAAATTACATTACCAAGATATACATGTTTTTATCTTAAATTAATAATATTAATAAAATTACTATTTCAAAGAATAATAAAATTAATTAATTATCTATATATTTTGAAAATCCTCAATTATTCCTTTAATTAAGGAAATCAATTACATCCAATTAATTTAAATAAATAAATTTTATATCTCAATTTTAAAATTCGACCAATACATATATTTCATGAATTTAGTCATCTATCCTAAACATGAAATATAATAGAGAAAGTGATACGTAAAACTCTTGAAAGTTTTAATAATTAAAACTTAAATTAGTATAATTCCCCCGATAAATAATAAATAAACTAATTACTCTCGATAAAATATGGTCGTTGACATTATTGCTGCTTTAAAAAGCAATAGCATAAAAATAAGCCCCACACTCATAAAGTAAAGGGACAGTGAAACTAAATAGCATCTTGACTATTTTTTGTATGGTGTAAAAAAAAAAACTAAATTAATTATGTCCATTAATTAAATCTATAAATCAAATTAATAATAAAGTTTGGTTTCTTTAATTTCAAACACAGACATCTCTAAATTCTCACTCTTTCTCGTTTGAATTAGAAGTATTTTCGCATGAATTATTAGTTTCGTTTTTAAATTATTGATAAAAATTTTTAAAGTTATTTAATTAACTAAATTCAGATATACATTTGATCTATCACATGACATAACAGGTGATTTCAAATTCTCGTAAAAACATATAACTTTTAATAAAAATTTAAACATTCATATGAAAAAAAAATTGAAACTATCAACTATTAATTCATAACAAATTTAAGAGTACTTGCACATGACATACTAGCTTTTTAGCAAATAAAGATAAATATTAAAAGATCAGCATCCACTCATATCACATGTATAAATTTAATAGCCCAAACCCCACAAAGTTCCATAATAACAAATTACTACAATCTACTTTATAAATAATATATGCTATTATCAAGAAAATTTCATTAAATTGTGCAAAACTAAACGAGTCATCTCTTATTTGCCTTTCTTTAATAATTGCACCTACCAATAAATTTCCTCCATTTTCCACCATATAAATAAACATCACTAAAGTATAACATATTTACAAGTTCATTCAAAATTCAAACTCACTCAACTTGTTGTGAGAAAAATAAAAAATGTCACAAAATGGTGTTCATATCTTAATTTTTCCATTTCCAGCACAAGGTCACATACTTCCCCTTCTTGATTTTACCCATCAACTTCTTCTTCGTGGCTTTAAAATTACGATTTTAGTGACACCTAAAAATGTACCGATTCTTGATCCTCTTATTTCTACACACCCATCGGTTGAAATTCTTGTTTTTCCGTTTCCGGGCCACCCATCTCTTCCTTCCGGAGTTGAAAACATTAAGGATGTTGGAAACTCCGGCAACACCCCAATTATTGGTGGGCTTAGAAAGCTTCGTGGCCCAATAGTAGAGTGGTTTAAGGCCCAATCAAATCCTATTTGCGATTTCTTCTTGGGCTGGACTTTAGATTTGGCCCAAGAAGTTGGTGTACTCGGAATTGTATTTTACAGTTCCGGGGCTTTATTTATTCTTGATATTTGGAAGAATTTTAAGGCTTTATAAAGATTTGGGCTTTGTTGAGTTTAATGGGCTTCCTAAAAGCCCAAGATTTGTGAGGGAACATCTTCCTTCAGTGTTTCAAAGGTTTATAGAGGGTGGTGATCCAGATTGGGAGATTGTTAGAAATGGACTTATTGCAAATGGTAAGAGTTTTGGGTCAATTTTCAATACTTTTGAGGTTTTAGAAAGTGAGTATTTGGGCTTTTTGAAGAAGGAAATGGGCCATAATCGTGTGTATTCAATTGGGCCAATAAATTTGGAATTGGAAAGTCTAATGTTGATGTAAATGAGAGAGTTTTTACTTGGCTTGATGAGTGTCCTAATGAGTCTGTTCTTTATGTGGAAGCCAAAAGTTACTAACAAAGGCCCAAATGGAGGCCTTAACTATTGGGCTTGAAAAAAGTGGAGTGAGGTTCATTTTAGTAGCTAAACAATTGACAGCCCAACAAGAGGAACAAGATTTTGGATCAGTGTCAAAAGGGTTTGAGGAGAGAGTCTTAGGGAGAGGCCTAGTAATAAAGGGTTGGGCTCCACAAGTGGAGATATTGGGCCATCGAGCCGTTGGTGGGTTTTTGAGTCACTGCGGATGGAATTCTGTGTTGGAAGCGATAGTGGCTGGTAAACTAATTTTGGGATGGCCCATGGAGGCCGACCAATTCATAAACACGTGGTTATTGGTTGACAATATGAAGACATCGATCCGAATTTGTGAGGGCTCAGACTCAGTGCCTGACCCGATGGAGTTGGGTCGAAAAATTAGTGAGGCAATGAGTAGTGATTTGTTTAAGGAGAGGGCCAAAAAAATGAGTAATGAAGCACTTGAAGCTGTCAAAATTGGAGGGAGCTCTAAAAGGGATTTAGATTCCATTGTAAGAGAGTTGGCCCAACTAAAAAGTTGAAAATTCATGCAAATGGGCCTAATTATTTCAAGTTGGGCCTAGATGAACTCTTGATAAGTATTCTTAAACTTAAATATAAATTTATGTAAAAATTATGTGATAATGTTTGGAAGGAAAATGAGACAAGTTGACCTTGTTCATCTAATGTTCTATTTATTCTAAAGATGCCTCATTATTTGTTACAAATAAATGTCATTTCTTATAATGTATATTTGTTTTTGGAATTCAATTTCTAGATTGCAACGTTGATCTATTAGATTTACATGTTGATTGTGATTTATAAGTGGAGTCTCGTAAGGTAGTTTATTCGTATTTTTCCCACCTTGTGAAATTAAAAAATTATTTTTAATAAATTATTGAGTTAATTAAATTATATCAGCTCAAATATAAAGCAGGTGTAACACATTTTTTTCGATTCCATTGTCTTTTTTCTTAATGTAACATTATTTAAATCTCTTATGATACATAATTTTTTGAGTGACAGAACTAACTTGCAATATTTTTATGTATCGATATATAATATTCAACCTTTTGGAATCATATTCCTATAGTAACCTCTATCCTTTCTAATTTTGAGTAATAAACGTATAATTTTATTGTTACAACCTTATGACAAGTTTATTCCGTATATGAAGAAACTATACAGTATATACTTTATTATTTAATTGAATTATGAATCTAATCTTATACTATATTATCTTTCACAATTTTCACATATTTTTTATTACTCTTTTAAAAGATTTGAATAACAAATTAAATTTATTTAAGAACTTAAAAAGGTGTTTAAAGGAGAGTAAATTAATGAAAGTATGTACGTGTTTTCATAGTGAAGTTGGGGTATCATAATTTTTTTAAGGTTGTGACCTTGTAAACCTATATATATATATATAATATTTTGTTATTAAAATATCATAATTGTTACAAATTTTATAATATTTGATTTTTGCTATTTGCACTTTTTGTAGAGAAGGCTATATTTTAATATTAAAAAATATTAGTAAAGTAAGGTTTAGGTTGCATTTATTTTTATTGAAATTAATTAATACGTTTGAATCTTAATACATATTTGGATAATAAGATTTTAGAAATCTAAATTTGAATGTTATATGCGAATTATTGAGATTTGTACTAAAATCTGCATATTATAATTAAGATTAATTTTTTAAAACATCTAATACACAAAAATTAATTTGTTTACTTCTAATAATAAATATAAAACTAATCAGATATTATGTATCTACAAAATATTTTTTAAAATATACATGAGTTGATGGTGGTAATGGTTACCTAAGCAATGATGGTTGTAGATGTCGACTGAGACTGACGTTGGCTAATAGTTGGGTGTAGGTAGTAGCTAGTATTAACGGTTAGTGATTCAGTTTGGATCGGTTATTGTTTAAAATCAAAATTAAAGTAATCTAATGTTTTTTTAAATTTCTAAAATCAAATCAAATCAAAAGAAAAAAGTAACTATCGGTTTGGTTTGGTTTTTCTGGTTTATTTTTGTTTGAAAGTAATAATTTTTTAGAACGTATATATCTTGATATACACAAACATCAAGTACATGAACAATCTATGAAAAGCTAATGTTGGTTCAATTAAGCAATGTTAAAGTTATCATTACATGAATAAATTGATTTATTAAGAGAAACTGTAACTATTTTTGTGAAGTACAATAGGTAAAGACTAAAATAGATTTTGATGGACTCGAATTTAAGATTGGTATACTTGGGCTAAAGTGTTGGGTTTGACAAAATGATAAAGTTAAAGACTAAAGTTAATTAATATTTAACAAAATATTTTTAATTTATTTATGAATAATATATAAATAATTATAAAATTTATATATCTAATCTATCGGTTCGGATTGGTTATTTTTGCGGTTGTTTTTTTTCAATAAAATCAAAACCAAACCAAATAGTATCGATTTTCAAAATTTAAAAACCAAACCAAAAAGTATCGATTTTTAAAATTTAAAAATCAAACTAAACCAAATATCGATTTTTTTAATCGATTTGATTCGAATTGCGATTTGATTTGATTGTTAACCATAACCGTGAACAACCCTAATTATACTAATTGATTTTGATAATGACAGTTATTTGTTATTATTTCATAAAATCACTTTTAAATTCGATCTCAATTTTTTTCAAGAAGGAAAAATATTTTTTTAAAAGAAGATATCATTAGTTGAGGGATTAAAATCAAATCAAACTCATGAGAATTGTGATTGTTGTTGATGAATGGTGGTATTTAGATGCTTTAACACTAACAGACAATAAAAATAAAAGTTGATAGTGATAGATGGTATTGGTAACCCGTGATATGCTTTAATAATTGAAACACACTCCATTATTGGAATATAAAAAAATAAAAAGAATAGAATAAAATAATAAAAAGTAGATATGCTGCTATCAAGAAATTTTTTTAAAATATTCCACATCTAAATCATTATAAAATAATCAAACAATACACATATTTACTACCAAGAATATTTTTTCGTTTGCCAAATTATCTCAAACAAATATGTCAAGCTCTAAAAATGGTGTACATATCTTAATTTTTCCATATCCAGCACAAGGTCACATACTTGCCCTTCTTGATTTAACTCATCAACTTCTTCTCCACGGCTTTAAAATTACTGTTTTAGTGACACCTAAAAATGTCCCGATTCTCGATCCTCTTATTTCTACACACCCATCGGTTGAAATTCTTGTCTTTCCGTTTCCGGGCCACCCATCTCTTCCTTCCGGAGTTGAAAACATTAAGGATGTTGGAAACTCCGGCAATGCCCCAATTATTGCTGGGCTTAGTAAGCTTCGCGGCCCAATAGTAGAATGGTTTAAGGCCCAATCAAATCCTCCCGTGGCGATTATTTATGATTTCTTCTTGGGCTGGACTTTAGATTTGGCCCAAGAAATCGGTGTACCCGGAATTGTATTTTATGGTGTTGGAGCTTTATTGATTTCTATATTTTTTGATGTCTGGAAGAATATTGAGGCTTATAAAGGTTTGGGCTTTCTTGAGTTTAATGGGCTTCCTAAAAGCCCAAGATTTGTGAAGGAACATCTTCCTTCAGTGTTTTTGAAGTTTAAAGAAGATGATCCAACTTGGGAGATTGTTAGAAATGGGTTCATTGCAAATGGTAAGAGTTTTGGGTCAATTTTCAATACTTTTGAGACTTTGGATAGTGAGTACTTGGGCTTTTTGAAGAAGCAAATGGGCCATGAACGCGTGTATTCGATTGGACCGATAAATTTAGTTGGTGGGCCGGGTAGAAATGGGAAGTGTGATGATAATGCAAATGAGAAAATTTTCACTTGGCTTAATGAGTGTCCTAATGAGTCTGTTCTTTATGTAGCTTTTGGAAGTCAAAAGTTATTAACAAAGGCCCAAATGGAGGCTTTAACTATTGGGCTTGAGAAAAGTGAAGTTAGGTTCATATTGGTAGCGAAACAATTGACGGCCCAACAAGAGGAACAAGGTTTCGGATCGGTGCCGCTAGGGTTTGAGGAGAGAGTATTAGGGAGAGGACTAGTAATAAAGGGTTGGGCCCCACAAGTGGAGATATTGGGCCATCGAGCTGTTGGTGGATTTCTGAGTCACTGTGGTTGGAATTCAGTGATGGAAGCGATAGTGGCGGGAGTAATAATCTTAGGATGGCCCATGGAGGCCGATCAATTCATAAATACGTGGTTATTGGTGGACAATATGAAGACATCGATCCGAGTTTGTGAGGGCTCAGACTCAGTGCCCGACCCGATAGAGTTGGGTCGGAAAATTAATGAGGCAATGAATAATGATTTGTTTAAGAAGAGGGCCAAAGAATTGAAAGATGAAGCTTATGAAGCTGTTAAAATTGGAGGGAGCTCTAAAAGAGATTTAGATGCCATTGTAACAGAGTTGGCCCAACTAGAAAGTTGAAAATTCATGCAAGGGGCCAAATAATTTTAAGTTGGTCTAACTTTTGATAAAATAAAAAATTATTTATATGCACACCATTAGTTTATTTATTTTCTATTATTCTCTTTTTTTTAAAAAAATATTATTAAAATCTCTTTTTTACTCCTTAAACTCAACTCTCTAGATATATAACCTTTTATCTCTTAACCCATGTTTCTCTCTCCAATATTTCACTCCTGAAATCACGCCTATTTTCTTTTTCATGATCTTATCATTCTAATTTTGAATTTCAATTTTATTTCTCTCTCCGATCAAAGAATTTTCCATTCTTTCTAGGTATTGTTTCTATTTCATTACTTCTGCTCATAATTTTTTTAAAAGGATTAAAATTTTGATATGTTTATGGAGGATCCTCTTCATTTATCTTAGGTATTATTCAGATAATGTCATCCGACACTAATCGAGTTTATGAATATGAAGACATAGGTTGGGTTGAGAATAGATCAAAAAAATTATCTGAATCTCTAGTTATGACCAATGGTGAGTATCGAGAATGTGTTTTCTTCTTCAAAAGCAATGATTGGGAAAATCCCTAAAAAAAGGAGTAAAAAGAAAGTATCATCCCCAATATCTTGTTCGAATCTACTCGAGGTAATGAGTTTTGATCTGTTTTTGTGTTTTTTTATTGCTCAAACTTTAAATCGTTGTTAATTTGAAATTTATGATACATTATTGATAGATTAATGTTATCATATTGTAATATATCATTATGTAATTTAATGTTTGATTCTTAAAATCTCAATTTTTTCATTATGTTCTCAATCAATCAGAACATATGATACGTTTAATAAACTTCACGATGTATCAGTACTAACATAGCATATACTTGATACAAATCTATAAAGTTCATGAATATTTTTCTCAACCTTTTCTTTCAACTGATACAAAAATTTGTTAATTTTTCTTCTCAATATATCAAGTTAAAATATATTCAGCATATATCATGTTTATATCTATTTTATGTCTCATGCTTTTTATTCAATTCATAAAATTTTTTATCAATTTTTCTTCTCAATGTATCAGGTTATAAATATATTCAACATGTATCATGTTTATACTTTTTTGGGAAAAGGGTCTGATATACCCCTCAACTTTGTCATTTGGAGCTGATATACCCCTCGTTATAAAAGTGGCTCATATATGCCCTTACCGTTATACAAACGGCTCACATATACCCCTGCCGTTACAAAA